TGTTTTATTGCTCTTAAGAAAGAGGAACAAATATAATGGAATAGAAATACCACAATGTTGATCTTCATAAATGTGAAATAAAAATAGCCATATCAAAAGAATAGTATCTCTAATAACAGTGGGGATCTAGAGGAGTATTTGCAGGAGCTAGTGGAAGAGGTAGTGACCAGCAGAGTGGTTACAGAAAAATGTCTAGGCAAAGTAGTTGACAAAATTGCTACAAACCATACTTAATGATTCCATTTGCAACTCGTCTCCAACAGGTGATGAGGCAGTATTTTCCAATTTGAATAATCATTGAGGATAGCTCCTACCACTGGCTAATAGAAGTTCAAACTGATTTTTTTTGTACCAAGTAATTCATTTGTGTTTTATGTCCTCTCCCCCAGTATTGTAGGTCAAGTCTTGTGTTAAAAGCCCAACGTGACAGTTTCATGATTTAGAAGTTACTTACTAGTTTTTTTAAAGACTTTTAAAAACTGTTTTAGGTTCACAATAAAATTCAGAGGAAGATACAGAGATTTCCCATATTTCCCATACCTCCTACCCCACACATGCATAACTTTCTCTATTATTAGCATCATTCACCAGAATCATGTGTTTGTAATCATGTATTGACAGATTATAATCACCCAAAGACCTATAGTTTACCTTAGGGCTCATTCTCAGTGTTGTATATGGTTTGGCAAATGTATAATGAAATATATATCTATTGTAATAGCATACAGACTATTTGCACTGCCCTAAAAATCCTCTGTACTCTCCCTATTGTCCCTTCTCTCCCTCCCCACCGCTGACAACTGCTGGTCATTTTATTCTACCATAGTTTTTGCCTTTTCCATAATGTCATATAGTTGAAATTATGCAGCATGTAGCCTTTTCAGATTAGCATCTTTCACTTAGTAGTATGCATTTATTTAAATTTTCTCCATGTCTTTTTATAGCTTGATAGCCCTTTTCTCTAGTACTGAATAATATTCGATTGTTGTAAATAGACCTTCAATAATGTGATGATAAAAGTGGGAGGAGGGGGAAGCATTCTATTGTCCTGTGATTAGGTTTCAGTCTTTTAGTGAGCCTGTCTCTGGACTGTGAAGTCCACAAGTGTTTCTCAGACCTCATAGGTGGGACAGAATGGCTATTGTCGGCTAGAGTTGGGTATTTCCTGTCTCCCACATGGAAGGCTGGAATTGGTGTTGGGTATTTCCCTTCCCTATGACCGTTAGGTTCTGAAAATACCTCTGCACCTTAGGCTCTGACTAGCTAGTTCTTCCTGAGGGCAGCCGTTGTTAACAACAGAGTGCTCTGGTGTATTTCAAAATATTTCCTCCCCCAACCCCAGCCCTCAGAAGCAGGAGGAAATTTTTTTCTGATATTTACTGTGGGGTCCTAGTTAAGCATCTGGAGGTAAATCTCAAAATACTGTGAGAGCCCTGTAAGCCTCAGTCCCTGTACAATTTTTAACTCTCTTTAACTTATTCCACACCAAGCTTCCAACAATGCATCAATTACAGTTCAGGTTTTCTTACCCTGGCTCTGGTACCCCATGTCAATTTCCTCGTCTAAGTCTCTGTGCCAGTAAGCCAGGACTCCCTGTGTTTCCCTGTCTCTTTGCTCTTGGAGTCAATTGTTTGCCCCATGCCCTCCCGCTCTATGGACCAAGAGCAGTTGAATTTTTCAGTCTGTCCAGCTTTTTACTTTTGGGACAGTGTCTTATTAGTTCCTTAATACATCTTTTTGCATAAACAAATCAGGTACATTATTTCAATCTGTCAGAAATTCTATTAAAATATTTATAAAATGAATAGATATATATGAGATTAAATTGCCTATAATATCAATAGCAATGGCTCAATTATTCCATGTATTAAACATTATTACTAGTCATAGTATAAATATTTTTATAGAATATAGGGCTAAAAGTTGTTATGCATTTCTGTATTTTAAGGGTTTATAGAATCTTTTCATCATTCAAGATAGGACTATAACTGGGAGGTTGGGAGAACCGGTGGTGGGTATTAGAGAGGGCACGGATTGCATGGAGCACTGGGTGTGGTGCAAAAACAATGAATACTGTTATGCTGAAAAGAAATTAAAAATTAAAAATGAATTCATAAATCCATACATAGTTAAAATAGGTCTTGTTTGTTGGTCAAGACACAGTCTTCAATTAGGTCCAGTGAGGATCTAGCATAATAAGTTTCCTGGAACATGTGTGATTGTTTAACATGTAGTTAATTATTAGCTTCGGCTGGGTGGGGCTATGTGCTAGAAATAAAGAGGCATATTTGGCTAATGGGTATATGCTGTGTGCAAGCAGTCTCATTTTCTGGTTTAAATTCCATCTATTAATTTGCTCATGTTATGACCTTAGAAAAGTTACTTGCCAACAACTTTTCAGTAAATATTAACTATTGTAGGGGTGCCTGGATGGCTCAGTCATTAAGTGTCTGCCTTCGACTCAGGTCATGATCCCAGGGTTCTGGGATCAAGCCCAACATTGGACTCGCTGCTCAGCAGAGAGCCTGCTTCTCCCTCCCCCACTCTCCCTGCTTGTGTTTCCTCTCTTGCTGTCTCTCTCTGTATCAAATAAATAAATAAAATCTTTAAAAAATAAAAAGAATTAATATTAGCTGTTATAAAAATTATAATCTAAAATTATAGAAAAAGCTCTTATTCCCATTTATTAATCTGTCCTTTTTTCCCAGTATCACCCCAGACTTGCCTTCACACATTATATCTCAGACATTTAGAATTACTTATAATTTCTGGATTAAGCTATACTCTTCTTATCTTCATCTTTTTCTATACTCTTCCTAATGCTAAGAATGCACCTGTCCATATGTTTTATTTTATACTTGATTTCTTATAGTAATTACATTATTAAGTTTGTTACATCTCTATTGTTCCAACAAGGCTGGTTGTTTTTTGGAGGCAAATACAAAGTTTTACTTTTCTTTATATGCCTTTAGCATTCAGAAAAGATCTGTCATGTTGCAGGCACCTGGTAAATATGTAACTCTCTCTCCTGAACATTGCACTTTAATCAGTGTTTGTACACCCTACATCAGTTCTCAGACCATGGTTTAATAACTGACATCTAAGTGGTTTGTATAAGTAGCCCTAAAAGAACATAGGGAGAGGAAACACATCAGATGCATTCAATGTCATTCCCTGTATTTGTTTCCTAAGGATGGCATAACAAATAACTATAAACCTGGTGGCCCAAAACAACAGAATTTATTCGCTCACAGTTGTGGAGAACAGAAATATAATATCAAGGAAAGCCATACTAATGTGTGGAAATCTAATGTCAGGAAAGCCACATTCTCTCTATAGGTTCTAGGGGAGAATCCTACCTTTTCCCTTTTAACTTCAGAAGCTCCAGGTATTCCTTGATTTGGGGTGGCATGACACTAACCTTTGCCTCCTTCTCCCCTGTGTGTCTCCTCTTTTTAGAAGGAGACTTGTCTTTGAATTTAGGGCCCAACCAGTTAATTTAAGGTGCTCTCTACAAGATCCTTTACTTAGTTACATCTGCAAAGAACTTTTTTTCCCAAATAAGGTCACAGTCACAGGTACCAAGTACTGGAACTTGGACATAGTGTTTTGGGGACCACAGTTCAATATCACCTCAAGACAAGATCCAGGTGCATTTTGCTGGATTTCTGAAAACACATTTTATTGAGGGAATTCCAAGGTGAAAGGTAGTATTACCATCAAACCAAAAATAAGTAAAATCAATACTTTAAATGTTATACTGCCTTCTATATTGGTTTCAGTTATATGCTAAATTTAAAATTAACTTATTTTATAAATTTAAATGTGCTCAGGTTTTAGAGTGAGAAGGTCACTAAGGAATCATCTTAATTAAATATTGTATGGATATATCCCATTGTGTGTGTGTGTGTGTGTGTGTATACCCACACTGTATATGTGTATATGTGTGTGTGTACATAATAGAATATTGCTCAACCATAAAAAGTGAAATCTTGGGGCACCTGGGTGGCTCAGTGGGTTAAGCCTCTGCCTTTAGTTCAGGTCATGATCTCAGGGTCCTGGGATTGAGCCCCACATCGGGCTCTCTGCTCAGCGGGGAGCCTGCTTCCCCATCTATCTCTGCCTGCCTCTCTGCCTACTTGTGATCTCTCTCTCTCTCTCTCTGTCAAATAAATAAATAAAATCTTTTTTAAAAATGTTAAAAAAATGAAATCTTGCCATTTGCAACAACAGGGATGGAGCTAGAGAGGATTGCACTAAGTGAAATAAGTCAGTTAGAGAAAGACAAATACCAGATGATTTCATTCATATGTGGAATTTAGGACACAAAACAATGATCAAAGAGGGAAAAAGAGAGGGGCAAACCCAGAAACGGACTCCTAACTATAGAGAACAGACTGATGATTAGCAGAGGGGAGGTGGGTGGGGGGTGGTTTAAATAAGTGATGAGGATTAAAGAGGGCATTTGTGATGAGAATTGGATGTTGTATGGAAGTGATGAGTCACTAGATTCTACACCTGAAACTGATATTATACTATATATTGACTCACTGGAATTTAAGTAAAAACTTAAATATTTGTGAAACATTTTATAAAACTATCAAGGTTTTCACTATTTTAAAAGTTTACTATCATATAATCAACTTTAGTCAGTGATCTCTATTATATAGGCCCAGATACTTTAATAATACATATGTATCAAGCTACATATACTTGAAATAAAGAAAGAATAAAATTGAAAATGACTGAGCTCTAAGATCCTGAGCCTTATTTGTTTTCCCTCTTTGTTTGTGGTTGTGGTTGTTTTTTGTCAGGACACCTTAATTTCATTGAAAATACTGGTGAATATCAACTAAATTAGCTCTCATAAATCAATCTTAATGAACAACTACTTCATGTGCTTAATTTTATTCAAATTTAACAAATACGAACTCCATAATATAGACTCATGCATATTATATATACTTTTTTTTTTTTTTTTTTTTACTTTTCTTTCTTAGATGTCTTCCTGGATTTTCTGGGAAATTTTGTAAAATTAATATAAATGAATGTTCTTCATCACTATGTCTAAAGGGTGCAAAGTGTGAAGATCACATCAATGGATGTATTTGCAAATGTCAACAAGGTAATTATTGAAAAATTATAATCATGCATGCTTTATACATTTACAAAATATATGTTTATGTATGTGTAAATGTGACAATACACTCCACCACTAATGTTGTTGGTTTTCAACTAAGTTTTAAGCAATGTGCACACTTAAAAAATATGAAATGGATGTTTTGTGATACTAGTAAGATACCATGTCACTTAGGGTATCAGCAAGAAATCCTGGTGCTGGGGCGCCTGGGTGGCTCAGTGGGTTAGGGCCTCTGCGTTCGGCTCAGGTCATGATCTCGGGGTCCTGGGATCGAGCCCCGCATCAGGCTCTCTGTTCTGCAGGGAGCCTGCTTCCTCCTGCCTCTCTGCCTGGTTGTGATTTCTCTCTGTCAAATAGATAAAAAATATATAAAAAAAAAAAAAAAAGAAATCCTAGTGCTTAGAGTATATCTCATTACAGGTTTTTCTACATTTATGTAAACTTCATAATCCTGATCATTACATCCATTGTGCCTGGCACACCAGCAAGTCCTTTGTAAATTTTAGCTCTTATTAATATTGACATTATTATTACCTCCAAAAATGGTCAATACAGAGATGGACAAGCTGAATAAACTGATTTTATTCAGGGAACAATTTTTCATTAATAACTGATGTTTTGGCCATTTCTGCCTTTGGTCATACTCTCCTTAAGTATACATAGATATATTGGGGCATCTGAGTGGCTAAGTCTGTTAAAAGTCTGCCTTTGGCTCAGATCATGATCCCAGGATCCTAGGATTTAGTCCTCTGTCAGGCTCTCTGCTTCTCCCTCTCCCTCTGCCTCCCAATCTCCCTGCTTATGCTTTCTCACTGTCAAATAAATAAATAAATAAATAAATCTATCTTTTAAAAAGTATACATTGATATAAACAATTTCTGTCTGTGTGTCTTTTCCCCCTCTCTTTCTTCTAGCTTTCTAATTTTGCAGATTTGTTGCTTTCTTCCTGTGTCCTCTGTCACTCATCTTATCCTCAACATTCACGTACATCTACCCAAAAGAAATAATGAATGCCTGAATTTCCTGGAGAAGTAATAACATCTCAGGAATATATGTGGGGTATATTTTTTGGTCACAGAAAAGAATTCTTTCTTTCTACAGACTCCATAGAGGACTTGAGACAGCTTGAAAATACCCCAGGGTTTGGGGTTTCTGGTTGTTTGGGTCCCTTGAGGGAATGACAGCCAGGCAGCCTTGTGGGTATTAGGGCTTCTATTGTATATGTGAAGTTATACAAACTCGTGAATACTTATTAACTGAGTATCATTGACATGTTGTTGACAAGTTCAACAGTCACTCAGTGCACTCCTCTGTTTTGGAATACCACATACTGATACTAGGCTTTTTTTTTTTTGGTCAGATAGAACATATGAAAACATTTCTACCTGAATGTTAAAATAGCCACCTCTACATAAAACTGTAACTCTTGCAGATAAAAGAAGTAGAATAGACATTGCAATTCTCTGATATAAAAATAAAAATGAATACCATTTTAGAAGTTTTGCTTCTCTTAAGCAAAAATATCTTTATTGAAGGCTGAACATTTAAAATGCTATAATAGCTACCATAGGCAATGAATGTAACCCTACAAAGACAGTTTAGAAGTAAAGCACCTATGTAAATCATTTTTACCATATCAGTATATATCTTATAATTGCTAGGTTTATTGTTTTCTGTTATATATATATATATATATATATATATATATATATGTATATGTATATATATACATATATATCTTACCATTGCTAGATATATAGATATATAAGATATATCTATATCTCTTACCATTGCTAGATTAGTTTTGATGCTCCAGGTTAAGATTTAACTTACTTTAGATTCATTTGGAAGCATGGAGCCATTCTGAAGCAGGTGTAGCATTCAAATGAAGCCCCATTCTAAATGCTGCTCATTAGTCCATGGTGGAAAGTGGGAGACCTCAAAAATGATATACCCATGCTTGTTGTTAGGTGTTAATCAGAACTTTCTGGTACTTTTGACTTAAGCCCGAGATTCCTCACAGTCTAGCCACAAAATCAAAATCCAAGTAAGCAGCAAATCAAGTAAATGCTTAGAAAATGCTGTGGACACCCTGCCAGACCCTTGTCCCTGATCCCCAGGGCTCTTTCCCGCCAAGGCTCTTAATCATAGCAGCCCATCATCCCCCAAAGTTATTTAAGGAATAATGGTGCTCTTGAAGTTTACCCTCCCCTTCCTCAGTTTCCCTACTAGCATAGTTAGCTGGAGTTTTTTTTATTTGTACAGTTAAATTTACTCTCTGGCGTGCAGTTTTTTAGTTATGACAAATTCATGAAGTTGCATAACTGCCACCACAGCCAGTCATGTAACCAACCACCATCCCCCAAAATGTGCTGATGCTACCCTTTTCCTCACCCTCAACATATATTGATTTTGACATAATTCTAATTTTTTTCTTTACCATTTTGGTCCTTGATAATCTACCCATTGCTGAGCTCTTCTTTGTGTTCTGAATTTTAGAGTCTAAAAGCCAAATGTGGGGAGACTTCAACCTATAAGTGTTTATGAAATTATAATTACAGTAACAATATTAGCACCTGCACACCATGCTATTTTATGTATATTGACTCATTTAGCTTTTATAACAACCTTTTGAAGAATGTCCTATTTTTAATTCCTTTTACTAATGAGGAAATGGAGTCCAGATTCTTTGGGTAATCTCCCATGGTACATTAGGGGCAAAGCTGAGATTCAGAGCCAGGAAGCCTAACCTGGTGTTACACACTCATTTCTTATGCTCGCCAAAGAAGGGCGTTCACTGAATAGCCACTTCCCAAAAAGTTTCGGTTATGTTAGATGGATAAGTTCTGGAGATCTAGTGTACAACACTGTGCCTATGATCAGTAGTACTGTATCATAGACCTACCATTTTGCTCTAAGGATAGATATCATCTTAAATGTTCTAACTGGAATAAAAAAATAAATAAAATAGACAACCATTTAAAAAAAATTTTTTTTTAAAAAAAGGACCATCACCAGTAAGATCCATCAGTGTTTTGCAGCTTAGATGTTAGCAATTCTAACCACTATGAGATTTCTTCAGGGAGGTTGCTGCTCACCCACATCTATCTGATTATCTCCTAAAATGTTTGGTAAGCAAAAACTGAGAACCTATCACTTTTCTGGGTAATTCATATCAACTTGCATTCTCCCAAATGTCATAGGAAGACACAAAGCCTGGCTCATTGGGTTTATACAGGTCTACTCCTCTCTTATCCATGGAGGAAGCCAGCCTTCAATAATGCTGATAATTCCTAGGCTGTCGTTTAAATCATGCCATCATCTTTACCTCTCCCATCTACCTGATAGAAACCTACCTTCACTGTTTACTTCCGTCTTTAAATTAGTTAAGCACTATAAATGATTGCCATATATTCTGTTTTCATCAGTTGGATATCTTAAGTTCACAATGTGTTGCCAATTATCAGAATCCTCCTGTCCTCGTGTAACAGCAATTCTTCCTCCATCATGGTAATCTTGGCTGCCTCTTTCACTGTACCTGCAGGTTTGTGATTTATCCTTTTTTCCCCATCTTCACTATTTGTTAGTCCAAATAGAGACATAAGGCACGTGCAATATTCCAAACAAAACACAGTTTCAAAAATTAAATGCCAGTTTGCTCACTAGATTTATCTGTAAAACACAACTGAAATTTAAATTTGATGTAAGAAGACACTCTAAGTGTGATTTAGTTTTGTGTCCCCAAATGCCATCTGAGAGGTGGTATTCTAACGGATCCTCACAGAGACTTCAGCACATATTGAACAGTGCAGTCCATTTATAATGCTGGCCATTGTTGTGGAATCACAGACAGGACCACAGGTAGCACAAGCCCCTCCCCTCTCTGTAAGCAGACAAATTAGATTGTTAAACCATTTCCTCCAAGCTAACTAGGTGCAGAGCTGTTTACGGTTGATCTCAGAACTCACTCATCCTCTCTGCATGAGATCATTGTGCAGGTTACAAGCTGAACAGCATTCAGGACAGTCCTGATTACAGAGCTCATCCTCTGCCTATGTAGTGAATTCAATGGCTAGTGAACTCATTTCCATGGAAGTATTAATACAAGCATTCAGATTATTTTATGAGGTAAAACATGCTTTCTTTTTTTTTTAGCCTCAATAGTCACATTTATAGTGTTATATAAAAATGTTTAACACTCAGTAAGTGAAACCACAGTTATCCCATTAAAAGCAAATTGAAAGTGAAGAGAACAATCTCTGTATTGGAAATGTGAATGCTTCCCCCAGAGTTCTTCTCAGTCCCTGGGGCAGTCTCTGTGCCCACACACTTTTTATACTCAGGAGGGATGTAATAGTGTTTATACAGGTGATGATATAAACTTTGGATACACATTTTGCTCTTAAAATAACATTATTCATTTTGAAACAGAAATGCTGCATCCTCCTTAGGGCAAGGAAACACAGAAACAAACATAGATAGTGTTGGCCGTGAATACTCACAATTATTTTAAGTCACGGGTATGACTTTTGTATTCAGAACAGAGGCGATACATAATGATCTTTCTTTTTAATCAAGACCCAAGCAAAGTGAAATAATCACTAATATGAAATAAAGAATGTATGCTATTGTATTTTCATGAAGATTTAGATGTAAAAAATAAATTCTACATATTCTAGAGTTAGACTAAGAAAAAATAATTTTAATTTATGTCATTCAATTACCAGATAATACATTAACAGTAAGACAGAATCATTATAGGCTTAGGTTTAATTTTACTTTATTTCCCTAGATTAGATGCAAATCACTTGGTGCTGAGAGGGAAAAGGATATGAAAGTAAAATATATAAATCTTTCAAATAGTGACTTTTATTTTCATCAATAAACTCAAACTATTATAACTGCTATGTTATGGCAGAGAATGGTAATATTAAAACTGGTCAATGTTTCTAACTGTATAAGTATTAAAAAAATTTTTGCTATCA